GGGGAGGGGGGAGGGGAGGGAGAGGGGTATGATCATTTAACTCATCAGCAGCTCTTATTAATCTCTCACAAGCATCCCTGCCTTGCGGATGCCACGGGAGAAGGTGAGAATGCCCTGTAGTGAGCACTAGGCCCGTCCACACTGGAGAGAGCTCGGCCACGGAGGACGCGGGTCTCCCTTCGCCGCCTCCTTCCAGCCGAGCCCCAGCCCAGCGCACCGCCCCTCCTTCCCGCTGCTTTGCCCTCACAAGCCCCAGGATGGAAAACCCTTGGCTCGTCCATGCCGTGCCCGGGTCCCCCTGGACCAGTGGCTCATTGAGAACTTAGTTCTTCCTTGGACATCCTGAGACTTTCCCCGCTCTGGAGCGCAGAGGGGCTTGAGAAACCGCACGGGCTAACTTTAGGGCACTGTCCAGACCCGCGGCGTGGGTCAGCGATGACCGCATCTCGGGGGGCCTAGCCAACGCATCATTGCAGACCACAGCCACAGGAGGACATGGCCTCCAAAACTTACTTCCCAATGCATATTCAGCAAAAATAGGAAAATGACCTTAGAGGCAAAGATAGTTCAGGAATAGCCAAAACCGTGCCGGATGGACTGTGAATTTAATGGACACAAGAGCTGACGCTAGCTAACTCCACGTGTCTGGTCTCAAATGCATGACTACATAGACCGTGTTTATAAAAGCAAATGGAATTGGCATTCCACTCGATTGATAACTTTTCTAATATGCCCTGAGTCCGAGGATGAAGGCAAAGACGGGAGGCAGGGGAACAGTAAGGCTGATGTTTATAATCATTCTCGTTTTAGTCCTTAGAGCAGCCCTATTTGGTAGGAATCCCCATTTCTCAGACTTGGAAACTGAGGGCCAGGGAGGTTGATGTGCCATCACGGCTGCAGGCTAAGTATAGCTGGAAGGCCTCGCCAGAGCCTCCCTGGGTCTGTGTTCCTCGCTGCCGGGCGCGGCCCCAGCCCGACCTGCTGCCCACGTGTTGTGATGCGTTCCTGATGGGGGTCTAACCATCTTCCAGTAATTCTTCTTGCTGACGCTGCGTGTCTCCAGCAGAAACGATGCCTTTGAAATAAAGTACATCTTTGGTCTTTTGCTCTGCTGGTGTGATTCAAAGGAAACAAATGCAAATTTGAAAAACACAACAACAAAAAAGGTCTGAGTTCTGAATAGAACCTTTTCTTTAAGGGCATGAAAAGCAAGTATTGTTGTGTTACGGTGTTAAAATATTCAGTTTTCCTTGACAAAAAAAATGTGTACTATGAGCCTTGCAAAAAACAAGACACAAAGCAAGAAAAGCAGCAAGCAGCCTGCTCTGTGGCATTTGAATTTTTATAAAGGTTTCCTTGTGCCAAAAAAGTGCAAAGATTTAATTTACTATTGAAAACCATAAGCATATGTTATAGTTCCAGAAGAATTATTTTGTCATCAAGTGATTTTGATCTTCCGTGTCAATATTTATATTTAGATTAATTTTTATAAATGAAAATATTTTAATGGTTTGAGAAAATGAAGCCGATAGGACCATACCTTTGATGATTCCGGAAAGTTACGCTCGCCTTCCTGTCACATGCACATGGCTGAGAATTACTGTCTAGAGAAATGAAGAAGTAAAAGTCATTTCTGAAAACAGTGTTTGTAGGTGTGTGATGTTTTGTTTGTTTGTGTTTGCTTTTGGTTGGGAAAGGCTGGGCGCCAGCCTGGTTAGGGTCTGGTAAAACCTGCTGCAGACTGCCCACTTGCACTGTATCCTCACATTTGGAAGAGCTCAGGGGCCTCTCTGGAGCCTCTTTCAATAGGGCACTTATCCCAATGGTGAGGGAGGAGCCCTCACAACCTACCACCTCCCAAAGGCCCCACCTCCCAATATCGTCACCTTAGGGATTAGGTTTCAACATAGGACTTATAGAGGGACACGAACCTTTAGACCATAGCATTCTCCAGCCCTTGGTTTGGACTTGGCCAAGTGACTTGCTTTGACTAATGAGATGTTAGCAGAAGAGATCCATAGGGGCTTGAAATATGTTGATGGAGTTGGGTTTGTCTGCTCACGTTTTGCCATTCACTATGAGAACATGCCACAGGGAGCCCGCTGGTCCATGGAACAGACCCAGACCCAAGATGCAGCTTGCAGCCAAGCTCCGGAAGCCCAGCCGAGATCAGCAGAGCTACGCCAGCCAGCCTATAGACGTATGAGCAAGAATAAATCACTGCTTTTTTAAACCACCAAATTGGGGGGGTGGTTTGTTATGCAGCAATAGCTAACTGATACACTACCTGAAAAGTTAGTTTTATTGCCTTAGTTTAACCCATATGCCAGAGATAAAATGAAGATGAATATCAAAAGTAAACCCACATGTCAGTATCAAGGATGTATATAAACAAACATTGAGCTACTTATTTTTGATGTTTCACAATTTATATATGAAACTTCGGTTACATTTTTAGGAGGATATCTATCTATCTCAATGTGTGCTTGGGTTGATCTTTCACAAAGGGTCTTCTATTCATTGAAGTTTTTTTTTTTTTTTAAATATATCTTTATTGATTTCAGAGAAAGGAAGGGAGAGGCAGAGGGAGACAGAAACATCAATGATGAGAGTCATTGACAGGCTGCCTCCTGCACTCCCCCCACTGGGGATCAAGCCTGCAACCCGGGCATGTGCCCTGACCGGGAATCAAACTGCGATCTCCTGGATAATAGGTCGATGCTCAACCACTGAGCCACGCTGGCCAAACCGTTAAAGTTTTTGATAAAAACTTTATAAAACACAGGAGACATTTGGTATAGCCCTTTAAAAATAACTTCTCGCATGACAGCCGCTCTATTTTCTCCCAGAAGTATTTCCCATACAAAATTTGCATTTAACAGAACAGTTGGTTGCGTGAGCCTTCTGTCTCTGCAACTGAGTTATAATTATGATAAAGTGCAGGTAAATAGAGTTGCATTTTAAAGAGCTTTCTAAGAGCTGGGAAACTTTAATATCTACTTCAAACATTGGAAACCTCAAAGAAGTTCAGATGGATCCAGTTTGGTGGAACCAAGTCCTAAAATATAGGAAAATATGTTTTGTATCAAAGCTGTCACGCTTGATAAAGATGAAAGCCTTAAGGCCGTGCCTCTCCAACTTTAATGGGCAAATTCTGATTCGCCGGCAGGGCTGGATGGGGCCCACGATGCCGCATTTCTGACAAGCTCCCCGGTGATGCCGATTCACTGAGCAGCAAGGTTCAGCAGGCTCCCTCCGAGAGTCCCCTGCAGGAGCGAGGCCCAGTTACCACAGTGCGCACCTGCTCACCCGCGCCTCTTTTGTGACTTTTCCTCCCTTCATTGTCTCAAGTCCCCCTCCCTCAGCATCTGGCGGAACTACAGCCTGGAGACAGACCACCACGGCCACCCCAGGTGAACCAACTTTGCTTTAAGCACTTGCTCAGTTCCAGGCTCTTTCCTCAAGGGGCTTCCAGGTGAGTGCGGAGGAAGACAGGCAGCATGGGGACAGCTTAGCTGGGGCTGTCCCCAGAGCAGACTGATGGCCTTGAGACCGTGAGAGTCGCCTTCTTCTCTGTGCACCCCGTATGCCTAATGACAAGGAGCAGCGCTGGCCCGGAGCCACGACGTGCTCCACGCAGGTGTTAGGTGGTGAGGTGACAGGATGAAAGATGCCATTGCTGCCCTCATTCGCTGCGCAACACAGTAATTACTTAATTGAAAAGGAAAGGGCTCCTTGCAGGCCGCGGTGGTGTTTCCTCTTGCAACTGAGTCTTCCACGTGCCCTTTCCTGTTCCCTGTAATGACGATCATTTGCACTCTCAAGCCTGTCCTGTCTGATTTATTCTTTCCCTTTGTCACCCATTTCATGGCAAACCCACTGGGAAGTCAGAAAAAGATGTTCACGTTTGAGGAAAGCCAGTCTTTGAAAGGGGAAGGCCAGACAAGTCTCCGCCCCGTCCACACAGCCCAGGTGTAATGAAGGCACCGACAAGGACCGGTTATGTGAATGCACATTTCCACCCATTTGCGATTCAGCCTCTGTGGAACCACCTTGCTGATGAGCAGGTTGGAATCCTCAGTCCGGCAGAATTGAGGGTCTCCTATCTTTAAATTACACCGCTATTGTCCTTTCTGTGTCCAGTAGCAACTCTTCCTGGGGACCCTGGGCTGCTGAAACGCTGGCTGTGAGGTGCAACAGCTCTGATGTCACTCGGCCAGATGTCAGCTTGGTGCTCGTTGGCTGGTGAGCTGTCAGATGACAAAGAGTAAGTCACCCCTTCTTGATTTGAGGCAGCTAGGATTGTGCTCTCCTGGCCTCTGTTCTGTCTTTGATTGCGTGGGGAAAGCAGCTCACTGTGGGCCGCGGACCATTAAAGCTAGAACCTTTCTCAGCTCTGCATCTTCCCACATTATATTCATTCTCCTGGAATGCCCCCCTCTGACGTTGAAAATCCCTACCCACCCTTTAGTAAGGCTCAACTCAACTGTCACCTCCTTTCTGATGGTCCCTGACCCCTCCCCAGCCCAGGAGAATCCTAGTGTAACCCAGATCATTGGAGGTGGGAGTCGGCTCCATGCCACTCAAAATCTAGCTTCAAATCTACTCTGGTTCAAACCCCTAATTCTATTTCCTGTGAAGCTTAAAGCCTTCCCCCAAAAGCCTGTGAATTTGTGCTTATGGAGTTTAAAGGTTTCTGGTGTTTGCTTCCCTGTTGTAGCCTCTATTCTGCACGGCATCGACCCAGACAGGAAATTCAAGCCCTTCACCATTTTCACTTAAAATGAGAAAGAATGACTACCCACCTAGTAGACCTCACTGCAGGGCGGAGGGGCAGCAGGAGCTGGTGGAGGTGGGTGGGGGCGTGAGGGGCAGACACACAGCCTGTCAGCTGGTTAGTATCAGAAAAGCCAACGTAGACATTCCAGCTTCTCCAAGTTCTCTTTCCAACCAACAGGGGGCTCCAGTGCCTTGGCCCCACTGGCAACTCAGGCCACAGGTGTCCCACATTCTGGCCTACTTACCCAGACAGTGCTCCGCCTGGCAGAGCGCTAGCCCTCTCTGTTAAGGTGTCACTTTCTACCTAGGTACGGGTGTCATTTGTATACAGAGGGTTTTGATGTTCCCCCAGCACCATCCCGTGAATCACAGGCATCACTGATGTACACAGCTGGGTCGATGTGGTGCGTTTTGTCTTTAATCCATGATTAATGGAAAGACACGGAAAAGTTCAGGAGGGAAGTGACCTAATCAGTCATTAGTTTTTTAATCACTTTGATATTTTAGTGTAAGGAACCCACTGCAGCAGGGCGGAAATCCGTACTGAACACCTCTAATCCGCACCCCTGGCTCATCCTGCCGCCTTCCGCGTGGTTCCCCCGCTCCTTTAGAGGGCCTCTGCGGGCCTCTGCGTTCCTTTATTTTGCCTGAATGATTCGCTTGGGGTTTGCGAAATCTGTTCCTCCTGTGAAAGTCTTTGTATTTCCTTGGATCTTGAGAATCTATTTTATACCTCGAGGCTCTTAGCCATGCGGGAGGATCAGAATCCCCTGGGTGCTTTTTAAGAACACAGGCCAGCCCCATTCCCCTTCCAAACCCCTAATAGTTCACGCAGGCCTGTTCCCTAACCACCTTCCCACCCGGGCCCAAGGCAATAGTGAGGCTGCAGGTAGGTGCTCCTGAGTTGGGGGCACACGAGCCAAGCAGAGAGTGGGGAGGAGGGAGGAAGAGGGCGAACGGCCCCAGGTTTCTCACCAGGGCTGCTGGGCCAATGGCAGCTCCATTAGCTGAAACAGTGGAATCAATACGGGTAACAGGAGCACTTTCTTTTGCTCTGAGTTTGCTCAAATTTTTGAACTGATTTTGCAGTTTCCTCATAATTAGGTGCCCTGGAAGACACCTAACATGATCATTCTGAGTAACTATGAGGCCGCTGGAGGGCTGGTCGTACATTTCCACCGTTATTTGCAACTTAGCACCCCAGCTGTACAGCAGGGTGCCCAAGCTTCTAGCTGACAATTGGTGTTTTTAAAACATCCTCGCTCATGCACGAAGACACATCTCATTCCATCTGTTTCTTCTGCTAATGGTCAGTGATGTTCCCACAGGCTAATTACAGCAATTAACGTAGAAAATAATGTGTTTACTCTGAAAAGCCAGATTTGGTTTTGTGACTGGGTAGTTTTGATAAAAACACAACTATTTCTAAGAGGGTGAAGGTCTTTACTTACCGTCTTTTTTTAAAGCCACATGAAATCCCTTTTTGCAGTTACCATGAAAAATGCTATTGAGGATATTGTCTGTTATATTGCCTGGGGTCCTTTATTTTTAATTTTGGAATTATACGCCAAGAAGCAATGACACTGCCCTCCAAACTCGGTGCTGTTACTGACAGCTCTACAAGCTCTCATGTTCTGATTGAGCGTTATTATTATTATTAAAGAGGCCTAATCATCAAAGGGAACTAAGGTAAGCTGAACTACAGAGATTTTTTCTTTTATTTAATGTTTTATCACTGTGCTGTACACCTGAAACACTAATGTAATATTGTATGCCAACTATAATTGAAAATGTTTTTTAAATCTGTTTTCTCACCTTCTCCTTGTCTACCCTTTTCTCAAAGTTGCTTTTGATGCAGAATAACTTCCTATCTTTTTGTTTCTTTAGCTCAACAGGAAATTCTAATGTGTTTCCATTTTGCAGATAGCTTATTGCAACCAGTGTAGTCCAAATAAAAATGAGCTGAGACCCTCTCTGATCTCATGAATGTGTGCAAACAGCTGTCCCCTCTGTTTCAGCTCTGTCCCCTCATGTAGACACCAGGATGCTCCTGAGTGCAACTGTGAAGATGCCAGGCTGCAAGGCCCTTGAGAGCTCTGAGAGGAAAACAGGGATAAGCACCCACTTTCCGGGGCAGCGGTGCGGTCCGGGCGGGGCCTGTCCCAGCCGCGCGCTTCAGCGCTCATCCAGCGGGAGCGGGGCAGCGGCTGGGAACGGACACAGGCGGCACGGGCTCTGAGAAGAGAGACAGCGCAGGAAATCACCGCTGTAGGGTGAGGAAAGGAGCGCCGGGGAAGGGCAGTGCGGAGTGCGGAGTGCGGCGCCGCTGCCCACCGGAGGGGTCGGCCCAGGGTTCAGATGAGGCTGGCTGAGGACCAGGGCAGGGCACTGAGCCCCGAGTGGCCCACGGTGCGCACTCAGTCCGTGCGCGCTGCTGCTACGCTGCCGCAGGAATGTTGTTTGCTTAGATGAGACGCAGTCCTGTCAAAAAAAGAAACAGAACCTTGGGTGAGGTTGTTTTACCAACATTGTAAATCCATTAAGTACAGACAATGCCTACAATAAAGTGAGATTAACGTTGTGAAAATGTAGAGCATGTGGCCTAAGAAACTGACAAACCGTGGAGAGGCCGGTATGGATTAAACAGGGCTTGATGGGGCCGCGGTGCCATAGGGCTGCCCCTCGCTCGGTGTGGCTGTCCCCGAGCCCTGCGCAGCCTGTAAGGCAGGGCTCGCATGGTTGGCCTGGGATTACACATTGCGGGTGGACTATGACATGGGTGTACCGAATCTATAAAATAGCTGGTGGCTCAGTTCAAAGAGGAACAGAATCAATAAAGTAGCTTTTATATTAAAGTGAGCTAAGAAAAGAATTCAGGGAAGCTATTATTACATTGACAATATCAGCAAAAAATCTGAGACTTGGAAAGGTCACCGTTCTACCCTTGCAATAAGAAGCAACTCTCCTGTATCAATCACCCCACTTCTAGAAATCCTGAGATCAGGTAACACGCAGCTTTAACTCCCACACTGTGACCCTTGGCCCTTCCCTCACTGGGGAAAGGGGGACGGAGGGGGCGGTATCCTTGGAGCATAAAATCAGGTGATAGGTTAAAATCAATTTTTTCCATCTTATTGAGATGACCGTAGAGCTTATGTCCTTTCATATGTCAGTGTATTGGGGAAGGGGGGGATCAGTCTCTTCACAATGAGGCAGAGAATCATCGTGTCTTTAACTAGAAGTTAAGCCTCAATGAAATGATACTATGGCTTCCCAAAGGTATACAATTAGTATCCTCCTTCCAAGAGCTTTTTTGAAGTTAGCTGACTCATGACTTTTGATTCCTTTCTTTCCCATGCTGTCAAGGGGGCTCATCTCCTCCATCTGAGAGATGCTAGGTCTCCACCTCCTCAAGTATCACCAAGTCTCCGTTCCTCTTCTCAGTGTCCCAAGGACTCTCCGACCTTGCCAACTAAAGGCAACTCCCTGGTGTGGTCTTGGTTATATTTATGTTGTAAAGACCTGTTATTTTGATGCGTTAAGGACTTGGGGTGTGGAGGGTTCCTCAGCCCCTGGCTGGTGAACAATTCTATTCCTGCAAAATGGCAAATCCTGTATTGAAATCCTTATATATTAAGTTCTGAATCTTTTACTAGTTATAACATACTTATATTGATTTTTCCTGGCACTTCTGGGTTAATATTCATTTTTATATAATGCTGACTGGACTACAGTGTATGACAGTCCCAATTTCTCCACATCCTCATTAACACTATCTCTCGATGGTAGCCGTCAAAAGTGGGATCTCATTGTGGTTTTGATCTGCATTTCCCCGATAGCTAATGAAGTGAGCCATCTTCTCATGTGCTTATTTAGCCATTCGTATATCTTCTTTGGAGAAGTAGCTATTCAAATCCTTTTCCACTTTTAAATTATGTTTTATTATTGAGTTATGAGTTATGTATTCTGGATACCACTCTCTTATCAGATATATGATTTGCAAAATTTCTCCCATTCCGTGGGTTGTTTCACTTTCTTGATGGTACCCTTTCAAGTACAAATGTTCTGAAGATGCCTTTATTCTGCCTTCCTTCTTGCATATTATTTTGCATAAATATAGAATTTTGTGTTCAATATCTTGCATGTTATTTTGTCTTAATACAGTATAGGACTTCAGGTTGAGAATCTCAGGATTTTGAAGATGTCCCCTGATCTTCAAGACTTCAGTGGTGCCAGTGTTTAAGCATGGCTTCCTCCATCAGTTGACTTCCATCTGGTTATTTCCTTCAGGAAGGAAATATCTGACCCATTGATGGCACGCCCTTTGTTGTCCAGTGCTGAATTTATTCCCAAAAATATATCTTTTCTGACATTATTAGGGGCCTTTTGGTGGTGAAGATGCTGAGTGAGCCATCAATTACTGTTCCCTTCTCCTAAAAGATATTTAACCCTTTATTATCACTCTTACCTTTAATGAACTGTCACTCAAGTTCTCATGGTACTTAAGTAGGTTTCCAGGGACATGATTTTACTTTTGACCTATGTGAATAGAGATGATAATGAGTTTTGCTGTAACAGAATTCTGTTATGTTCAATGATAAGTAAAATAAGCCCTTAGTATCACGTATGTAATGTTCAAGCATTTCATTTATGTCATACATTGCTAATATAACAAGTAATCATGATAAGCTGAGATTTTTGCTGACTTTTTCTAATTGACCTGAACACTACAGAGTGTCCAAAAGGTCTAGAAATATAACGTATCTATTGTACTTTTCAGAATAGATAGACTGGACCTATTGCTTTACATTTACAGGTATTTTACCTGGAAAGTGTTCTGGAGATTGAAAAATATCATTAGAGTATATTATTTGAAAATGTAGTCAACCTTTATAAAATGTGTTCACCCTCATGTTTCTTGACTTTTCAGACCCCCAAAAAATTACTGTTTGTCCAACTCTGTGAATCTCACTGAGGCAGTAAAAAGACCCTAGAGCCTCTTCCCACTGGGGGGGCAACCTATGGAAAGATAAGGACCCAAGGCCCTAACCTGACAGCACGTCCTCATGACTAGCAGATGTAAGAAACAGGTGCATAAAACCCACCATTGTCTTCATGGCAGAGAGACTGCTGGGATGCTGCCCAATACATCACAGTGTCCCCTTTATGAGGGCCCTAGAAAAATACCTCCTGTGGTTCAGGGCCAGGCAGAGTCATTCCTCCTGCACAACTGGTATGTTCTCACCCTGTAGACATTGGATTTTCTAGTTCATTTCTCTATCTTTCAACCATTAGGACAGTAAGAGCCAGTTTAGAGGTCAACCTCTAGCTTTGAGGGCTTTTATTTATTTTTAAATCTTCCCTGATTCCTTTAGTCAATACTACCACTGTATGCTAGCGATCTAAACTCCCTTCTGAAATGAGGTGGAATATCATCTCCTTAAACTAGACTGGTACCATTCAGAACTAAAAATGCTAGGTTTTAAGTACTTTATTCCTTTTATAACTTTACATATAGGTCAAATCCTTTCACTCTAAACCAGTGCTGTTTGATAGAAATAGCATGTGGGCCATGTGTAATTTTAAATATTCTAGTAGCCACATTTTTAAAAGTAAAAAGAAACAGGTGACATTGAGGCGGTTTAAGTCTTGCGAAGGTCAGTGTGTACTTTATAGTTGGAGGACATCTCAATGTAGACCAGATACCTATAAGTACTCTAGTGGTTCCTGTACTGGACACTGCAGGTCTAAAGGCAAAGGCTATGAATGACCAGCGAGCCAGGAGAGTTTTTAAGATAATAATCACAATGGTGTCTAACCTGTATTCATAATTGGAGTTGGATGAAGATTTCTAAGCTGCTGGGGGTTTCTGATATAAACACTAGGTCTAAGAAAGTTCTGACAGAGGTAATGACCATGAAAACCCTAAGATTTCTGGACTTTTTAAACTTCTTTTTCTTCACTGGCCCACTGTTGGCTCCTTCTCAGAAACGATGTAATATCAAATGGTTTTGGACAGCTAGAAAGAAAGAAAACAAAGATGTATTTTGTTTATTTTGCACTTCATCTAGAATAGTATTAAAAATTACTCTAAAGCATGCTTCCAGGAGTATAAGACCAAAGAACAGAAACCACTGTAGCTGTAATCAACAAAACAACAATTTTTTAAAAAATTTTTCTTGTTTTGGAACCAGCTCTAAAACTTCACACCTTAGTTTGGATAATAAATGTGTTAATCATTTAAATCAGGACTAGGGGACAAAAAGTGTAGTTGGATTCCTGAGAGTTAGGAATTTTATTTTTTCAGCAAATTATTTGACCTACAAAAGCCCCCATTTCTACATCTGTTAAACAAGAGTAATAATTACCTCATAGAATGGCTATGAAGATTAATAATACTGTAAATAAACCCTACAACAGGCAAACAGTAAGCACTAAATGGTACCTATCACCATTGTTAATTACAAAAGATTATTAAATCCAGATACTCTTAACCGGGGGTCTGCAGATCCTTGGCCCAGGGATAAATTGTAGGGGGGCAGAAGGAGAATTCCTAAAAGTGGAGAGGAAAAGGGATTACACTTAAATTTTCACTAACTTCTAAGCAAAGTGTAGCATTTCCTTTATTAGGATGCTGGTGACATAACAGTAGTATTAGAAGGGCCTGTGACTTTGTCCCAATAGAAGTCACAGATATTTTCCTATTTCTGATGTTTCAGACACCTCAAAACATCTATCACCTTTTAAAATTCTAGTAGTTGCTAGACCTGCTGCTAGATCTTATTAATGCAACCTAATACTATGTTATCAATGTACTGGGTTTTTTCATTTTCTTTTTGTGTTTTGTATCTTTATTGTAAATAAAGATAGGTGTTTACATATCTTTATTGTATGTAAATACAATATATGTATTTACATATGTAAATACATGTTTTATATGTAAATATATCTTTATTGACTTCAGAGAGAGGAAGGGAGAGGGGGAGAGAGAAACATCAATGAGAGAGTCATTGATCGGCTGCCTCCTGCACGCCCCCTGCTGGGCATCGAGCCTGCAGCCGGGCACGTGCCCTGACCCGGAATCGAACCTGGGTCTCCTGGATCCTAGGTCGAGGCTCAACCGCTGAGCTGCGCCCACCGGGCAATGTAGTGTTTTTAATTTCACCTAAATTGGTTTCCTTTGTAACCCTCCATGTTTTATTTCATGCACTCCAAGCATATTCTGAGAAGGGGTCCAGAGGCTTCTCAAGACTTCCATGGCACCAAAAAAAAAAGAGAGAGAGAATAGTTAAGAATCCCTAAGTGTTAGACTGTCTCTTCGCTTCCAGAAGGCCGGCCGAGGGAGCCCTGCTAGGGTGCGCCCGGCCCCAGTCTCCGGTTTGCTTCGCCGCCCGCAGCTCGATCCAGCCTCTGGCGCCTGGCTCCCCATCGGTTACCCTTCGGGCGGCGCTCACCCTCGGCTTCTCTCCCGCCGCAGGTTCTGTGTTCGAGCGACAGGCGGGTGTTCTGGCTGTTCGTGGACACGCACCGGCCCCGCGGACGCCAGGCCCCGGCGAAGGTGGGCGGTTGGTCTGCAGCGGGGGCCAGGCGGCGCCGTCAGAGCCCCCGGGAACTCGCCACATTTGCAGATTCTCGGGCCGCGCCCAGACCTCCTGGCCCAGAAACTCTGGGTCCCTCCGTCCGAGCTTCGTCAGGCCCCCTCCCCGCCCCCGGGAGCTGCCGGGGGCATTTTGAAAACCACCGCGCGAGGGGACTGGAAGGCGGCCCCGCCGGCGAGGGGACCAGGCGGGGCCTCACGGGGCTCCGGCGACGCGGGCGTTGGGGAGGCTGGAATTTGGGTGCGGGAGGTGCTAGAGGCGGCCGTCGAGTCTAAAGCCGGGGCTAGGGGGCTTCTGCTCCTGCGCCCCAACTTTACCTACATTACCCCGGCCTCTAGGGTGACTGATGGAGACCACCCCCCAGCACTGACCCTCGGCGCCACCTCTGTGCGGTGACAGAATGGGAGTGAAGGGCGAGCCCGCGCGCGAGCGGGGAGCGTGGCCCACACCCCTGGCTCCTGCGGGGCAGCTCCGCACCCACCTGGACCGTTCCGCGTCCAGCCGCCAGGCCCTGCACCGCGAACTCCCTGCTGGGAATTGCTGTCCCGGAAGCCCACCCGCCCCGGGCTCTCCGAGTGCGGTCGCCTCTCGAAAACTACAAGTCCCAGGATTCCCCGCGCGGGCGAGCACGTGGGCGGGGCGGCGGGCTCGGCTAAATACTCTCCATCGGCCATTTTGTAGGAGAAGCCGCAGCGCCGCCTCTTCTCTCGCGTCTTCGCAGCCGTCGCCGCCGCCTCTTCCTCCGCCTCCTCTCGGCTTCCGCCGCCGCCGCTCCAGCCGCATCCCAGCCCCGG